CAAACTGGAAGTTTGGTAACAGACTTCTGGGTTGCCCGTTGGGCTGTTTTAAGCCTCCGGAGCGTAAAACACGGCCGAAAATCAGCTGGCCAAGCGTGCTGGAGCTGACAGGGCAACGCCTCGTGTGCCCTCAGAAATGGCTCCATGTGCCACCTGTGGCATGTGTGCCATAGGTTCACCATCACAGGCCTAGAGAATTGCCCCTGCATGGCCCCATAGGAGGCTGACAACCAATCAGAATACATTTCTTACACAGGAATAGGAAACAGAGAGGTGGGGCCAAACAGAGAGTATAAAAACCCAGCAACCCCCTTCATTTCCCTCTTTTCTTCTTCACCCAACCTCTGGAAGCATGTGATTCCCCCTTTTTCTGTTCAAAAGCTCAAGCCATGTGATCCTGTCCACCATTAAACCATCTTTCCAAGCAGCCTCCATGTTTCCAGTCTTTTTCCCACCACTTGGAAGTGAACCCAGAAGGACATTGCTTCCAACAATTGAGAGTTGACATTATTTGAAGCTACTTTGGCTGAAAAGAATCATACAGATAGTCCTCGGCTTACGTCCACAATTGACCCCAAAATTTCCATTGCTAAGCAAGACCGTTGTTCATTGCGTGTCTCCCCATTTTACAACCTTCCTCGCCACAATTGTTAAGTGAATCACTGCAATTGCTAAGCCAGTGTGGCATGGTCGTTAAGTGAATCTGGCTCTCCCCATTGACTTTGCTTCTCAGAAGGTCGCAAAAGGTGGTCCCAGGATCACACTGCAACCGTCATAAATGCATGCCAGATGCATGGCATTGCATCACATGGCCATGGGGATGCTGCAATGGTCTGGGGGAAAAATGATCCTGTCACTTTCTTCCAGGCCTGTTGCAACTTTGAACGATCACTACACAAATGGTTGTATTTTGAAATGTTGGGCTCAGTTGGGTCGTATGTCGAGGACTACCTGTACTGTACTATGAAATTTGTGCTGTGAAGTTTGTACAGTGAAGTTTTGAATCAACTCTCCTTTTGTTCTTCCAGCTTCTGGGTGCCACAGCCATAGAGGACAAACTACAAAATGGGGTCCCTGAGACCATTCATCTTCTCAAAAGGGGGGGCATCAAAGTGTGGGTGCTAACTGGAGATAAGCAAGGTACCTCAGCCAGTTTGTGACTTTCAGAAATGACGTTCTTTTATGGGAATTTTTTTGGGGGGTGGGGGGTGGGTAGGCATCCAAATGATTTTACTTTGCTTCAAGACATAGGTCCACAGCTAAGTACAGAATCTGAAAAAAATAAACTGCATAAACAAATGGAGAACCCGGATTTACTTATCAACCATGGTACTAGCTCAATGACTAGAATGATTCATTTAACAACAGTGGCAAGATAGATCGCAAAATGGAGCAAAACTTACTTAACCAATGTCTCATTTAGCATCAGAAATTTTGGGCTCCATTGTGGTCGTATATTGAGGACTACCTGTAGTCTTAAAAAAAAGACTCTTGTTTCAGGCACGGAAGCAGAAATAGAAGAGAATGTCCCATGCTCCAGCTTTTAATCCCATTTCTGGTCTCCATTGTGTTTGCAGAAACTGCTGTCAACATTGGGTTTGCTTGCCAACTCCTTTCCGAAGATATGACCATTCTGGAGGAGAGCGAAATCAGGTACCGAGTTCTGAAAGTCGGGCTTGGGTGTCTGTGGTTGGGCAAGTGAAAGGAAGGAACTCAAACTGAGAAATAATCAGGTGTTGTTAGGAAACCCTAGATCCGTGATGGTGAACCCATGGCAAGCAGAATTCTCTCTGTGGGCATGCAAGCTATTGCCCCAGCTCAGCTCCACCGCACACGCGCGCCACCTGCTGGCCAGCTGCTTTTCAGGTCTCTGCTGTGCATGCAAAGGGGGGGGGGCGTATGTGGGAGACACACACACATGCAAGGGGACATGGGGTCACATGCGGGGGTCACATGCATATGCACGGGGTTGTGCACACATGTGCGGGGACAGGGGAGCAGGTGGGTCATGAATGCATGTGTGGTGGCAAGGGAGTCCAGAGGGTGTCGCATGTGCATGGAGCGGGGCGCACATGGGGGGTGTCACACGCACATTGTATTATGGGTGTGCATTCAACACACAGCAACAAAAATGTTAGCCCTCCCTTCCTTTTCTGGCCCCCCCCCCCCTCTGTCCAGTAATGAATGCCGAGACAAGCTTAACTGGAATGTACTTTAATAGTAAGACACCAAAACCTCAG